GTTTTTCTTGGTTCTTATCTAATCTCTTGGAAAACCAAGAAACAAACAATTATGTTTCGTTCTTCTTCTGAAGTAGAGTACAAATCCATGGCCTCTACTTGCTGTGAGTTAACTTGGTTACTTGCTCTATTAGCTGATTTCTAGATTTCTCATTTTCAACCTACTTTGGTTTTCTGTAACAACAAGGCTGAACTCCATATTGCAGCTAATCCTGTGTTCCATGAGTATACCAAACATATTGAACTTGACTGTCACTTCATCCGAGATAAGGTTCAAGAAGGAGTGGTCAAGACTCTTCATGTCTCCTCTGCTCATCAGCTCAGTGATGTATTCACTAAGCCACTTGATATACAACAATTTCATCTTCTCCTCAGTAAGATGGGTGTGTTAGACATCCACTCTCCATCTTGAGGGAGCCTATTGAAGAAACAAGACATGTTAGACATCCACTCTCCATCTTGAGGGAGCCTATTGAAGAAACAAGACATGTCAGCAAAGACAAGTCAGCAAACAGAGCCAGCTGTTAGTTTGTTACAGTTTGTGACAAAATTAGTTAGGAAGTATTTAATTAGTGAGAGTTAGTTAGATTTAGTGATGCTTGAATGTCAGTGAGTTTATGTATAAGTACTACATGTAATATTCTCCTGATAAATAAGTGGAATAAGACATATCTTCTTCTCCAAGCCTCTACTCTCTTCTTCCATTTTTCTATCTGTTCACCACTGGTTTTATCATGTCTAAAATCTTCTCAATGACTGCCTNCTTGATAAATAAGTGGAATAAGACATATCTTCTCCAAGCCTCTACTCTCTTCTTCCATATTTCTATCTGTTCACCACTGGTTTTATCATGTCTAAAATCTTCTCAATGACTGCCTNCCTGATAAATAAGTGGAATAAGACATATCTTCTTCTCCAAGCCTCTACTCTCTTCTTCCATTTTTCTATCTGTTCACCACTGGTTTTATCATGTCTAAAATCTTCTCAATGACTGCCTTAGATGGAAAGTTATTTGAAAATGCCATTCTCTATAGAAGTGTTGTAGGAGGCTTACAATACATAGACTTCACGAGACCAGATATGCCACTTGTTGTCCATAAAGTCAGCAAATATATGCACGCACCACGAATTACACATTGATTGGCTGTTAAATTGATATTGAGATATTTGAAAAATACCGTTTTCACATGGACTGTTCATTTCAAAGCAGAAAAGCTTCCAGCTTTAAGCATTTTCAGATGCAAACTGGGCAGCAGATAAGGATGACAGAAGATCAGTTGGGACTATTGTATTTGCTTAGGTCCCAATATAATTTCATGGAGTTGTAAGCAGCAACAAACGATGGCCTGTAGCAGCACCGAGGTGAAGTACAAGTCTCTTGCCAACACAGCAACAGAGCTCCAATGGCTACAGAGTTAATGAAAGAATTAGGCCTTCCAATAGAAACTCCACCTGATCTCTGTTGTGATAATATAGGAGCAATATATTTGTCGCCTAATCCCGTGCTTCATGCACACACGAAACACATCGAGATAGACTTTCATTTTGTGAGAGATCAGGTAATCAAGAATTGCATAAAGGTCCAATTTATTTCTAACAAAGATCAACTGGCAGATGTTCTTACAAAACCATTATCAACTGCTCGGTTCATTCAGTTCAAGTCCAATCTCAATGTCTGCGAGCTCTCATTTCGAAAGGATAAGATCCTGCAAAATTTGAGTTATACAATTTGCTTTCAATTCAAACTGTTTAGAGGAGGAGGTAGAGCTGGTTGTGGTGCAATCAGATGGTGGAGTCGGTGATGGATTTGGATCAATTACTTAATTAACGATATNTCTAGAACTATAAGCAAGTGATTAGGAATCCGTTACTCACACCCTCTTATTTAAATACTCACTCTGTACCGGTAATTGTTTGACAGATACAAAATACTTTTTCCATATACTGTCTTTAATCTTTACATGGGGGTAGTGCGGTGGCGTTAGAGATGGGTTTCATGGGGGGATCTCAATCCAGTTTTGATGTCAGTAGTTTGAAGAAAGTTGGTGGTGCTTTAGAGGAGGAGGTAGAGCTGGTTGTGGTGCAATCAGATGGTGGAGTCGGTGATGGATTTGGATCAATTACTTAATTAACGATATAATGGAATTAGTGGATTTGCAAGTTATCAATACAACAGAANTGGATTTGGATCAATTACTTAATTAACGATATAATGGAATTAGTGGATTTGCAAGTTATCAATACAACAGAAGTAGATTTGCAAGCTATCACAACGAATTTCCAAGCTATCAATAAAACAGAATAAGTGGTGTTAACAAATGGGTAAATTACTTAGTTGATAGCATTAATTACTAGGGTTAATTAGCTTAATCAATGGGATAGTTATAGAAATTTACTTTAAAAAGTAATGATGCTAATTAAGGTGTTAGTTACTTAATTGACGAGTTAATTACCAAGATTGATAAGATTATTTAATGGGAAAGTCAATTGATGGGGCTAATTTGTGTTAATTGCTTAATTAACTATTTTTTATCATTTAATACTTTATGGAATAATGAAGCTAATTAGCTTAATTAGTTGATTAATTAACTTGATGAATACAATTGCTTAAATTAATGAAATACATTATTTTAATTATTGTGGTCAAGTTTTAAATTAATGGAGTGCATCAACTTAGTTATTTAGATTTGTTGGGGGCTTAACGAAAATTCAAAAATTAACATGGTAAGCATTCATATTATTAGACATCAATTGTGTGTTGTAAAAAGAAAATAAATAAAAAAATNATTTGTTGGGGGTTTAACGAAAATTCAAAAATTAACATGGTAAGCATTCATATTATTAGACATCAATTGTGTGTTGTAAAAAGAAAATAAATAAAAAAATTAAAAATAAAAAATAAAAAATGGTTTGCTTTTATGTTGTAAAAAATGGACTAAAAAATATTAAATTAATAAAACGATTAAACTAGATGTAGTATACAAATCAAAATTTTGCAGGTTTAAATAAGTCATGTTTAATTTACGAACTTCGTTATTGAATTACATGATTATTTCCAAATAACAACTCATTTTAACCAATTTCAGCCACCATACCCATCCAAAGTTGATTAGGATTGAATTTCATTTTGTTACAAAGGGTTTAATGGTCCTTTCATTTTCTTTAATTTGGATGTGCATGAGGCCCACAAATCATGTGTTCTTCATCGGAGAAATTAGAAGTCAGCATAATTTTTTAAAATTATTTGTACAANTATGTGCATGAGGCCCACAAATCATGTGTTCTTCATCGGAGAAATTAGAAGTCAGCATAATTTTTTAAAATTATTTGTACAAAAGTACAAGTTAAAAATTTATTTGGGATAAAGTGTATATTTTTTAAAAATGTCACTATTGCTATCGGTAAACAGCATATGAATGAAAACTTTTTTGTTTTTTTTTTTGTTACAATCAAGTAATGAGAGGTAAAATAAGGACATATTTTTTCTGACAATTTCTCTCTTTTTTTATCCTAATTTTCTCTTACTCTATTTATATTAATATTACAACAACACAATTACACTAATCAGNCATTCATATTATTAGACATCAATTGTGTGTTGTAAAAAGAAAATAAATAAAAAAATAAAAAATAAAAAATAAAAAATGGTTTGCTTTTATGTTGTAAAAAATGGACTAAAAATTTTTAAATTAATAAAACGATTAAACTAGATGTAATATACAAATCAAAATTTTGCAGGTTTAAATAAGTCATGTTTAATTTACGAACTTCATTATTGAATTACATGATTATTTCCAAATAACAACTCATTTTAACCAATTTCAGCCACCATACCCATCCAAAGTTGGTTAGGATTGAATTTCATTTTGTTACAAAGGGTTTAATGGTCATTTCATTTTCTTTAATTTGGATATGTGCATGAGGCCCACAAATCATGTGTTCTTCATCGGAGAAATTAGAAGTCAGCATAATTTTTTAAAATTATTTGTACAAAAGTACAAGTTAAAAATTTATTTGGGATAAAGTGTATATTTTTTAAAAATGTCACTATTGCTATCGGTAAACAGCATATGGATGAAAATTTTTTTATATTTTTTTTTTGTTACAATCAAGTAATGAGAGGTAAAATAAGGACATATTTTTTCTGACAATTTCTCTCTTTCTTTATCCTTATTTTCTCTTACTCTATTTATATTAATATTACAACAACACAATTATATTAATCAGTTACATCAATCAATTACAATTATTATATAATACACCAAACAGTTATTCATACATTATAATAAACCAAACAATTACACAAAATAATTACACAAAATTATGACATAAACTTAATTTGTCATTCAGTTGTTTATATAAACTAAATAGTTGTACTATTTAGTATTGCAACATCGTTACATCATCATGCCTTAATAATTGCGTAAGACTGTAATTGTTACACCCATTAAAAAAAATAGTTACATCCATTAAAAAAATAGTTACACACATTAAAAAACAGTTACACCCATTAAAAAAAATAAAGAAATTCATTTTTTCCTACATCCCAACAACAAACAATACATAATATCTAACAAAACGTATTGGCTGATCTTTTTTTTTTTTGGAAAAAATTCAGAGTTTGATCAATCATCATAGTAAAAGACTTTATTCATTTTGGTCAGATTACATAGAAACAAGGTGGGTGGCATGGGATAACATAAATTTATATTTCACATATACTTTGCACTCATACTCTTTCATCTTCATCTTCTAGCACGAAATACCTCTGCTTTTGTTTTCTCTCACTCTATGTAAACTCTTATTTTATCTCTTATTATTATTCTTAATCTTTACATATTTGTTTCCTTAAATAACTGTCCATGATGACTCTATAAGGGTGCGATCATACCAGCACTAATGTACTGGATCCCATCAGAACTCCGCAATTNTCTTATTATTATTCTTAATCTTTACATATTTGTTTCCTTAAATAACTGTCCATGATGACTCCATAAGGGTGCGATCATACCAGCACTAATGTACTGGATCCCATCAGAACTCCGCAATTAAGTGTGCTTGAGCGAGAGTAGTACTAGGATGGGTAACCTTCTGGAAAGTCCTCGTGTTACACCCCTTTTTAATAAAAAAAAAATAATAAAAAAAAATAAAAAATGATGACTCCATAAATTAAGGAATAATGTTTAGGTAAAAAAAAATTTAATTCATTTTGAATTTTGTACCTAAACACAAACAATTTTATAAAAATTGTACTTAATAAAATAAATAACTTATCCATACACTTTTGCTCAAATAAATCTAAAAAATTGTACCCACACCTAAAAAAACTCTTCTTCATCCATAANTAATAAAATAAATAACTTATCCATACACTTTTGTTCAAATAAATCTAAAAAATTGTACCCACACCTAAAAAAACTCTTCTTCATCCATAACAAGGATTGTATAGCATAATATGCATTGGATCCAAAGTAACTTGGACAAATTTGCATTGTGTTGGATTAAATTGGGTTAAAAATGCAATCCAACTCAATCCTCCCATGAGAAGCCAAAGAGGACCAAATTGAACACAAGGTGGGCTAAATTAAAACCATATCAAATTTTCTCTCTGCTTTAAATCTCAAACAATGTCTTCACCCTGCCCAAAAACACAAATTTTGCATGTGCTTCAATGATAATAATCATAATTATGACAGTTTTTATGTGTTATGTGGTGCCTTCAAGCATGGGTAGTAGCTAAAAAACACAATTCAACAATTAGAATTATAACCCATTGTACCAAAAAATCAATCAAAAGTGAGACTTTGAAGGGCTTGAATGTAGGTTTCTGGTCCACCACCGTACTCTTTTTTTTTTTAATCAATTAATGAAAGTCATTTTTGATCAATATAGAAAGCAAATTAACAAATGGCATAGATAATAATTAACTGCAGAAGTTCCTTACCTTTACCTACTTAAGGATGTATTGATACGCAAGGAAGTAACAGTACAACTTAGTCGGAATATTGAAAACTGCTCACTATTTTTTGTAATAATAACCAGGACTATATGTTCGGCTTTGGTTCCATATACCAATCCATTCAAATTAATCCAATGCATAAACCACCACTCTTCTCCTATGTACTCGAAACACACCAATAAACCACAATCATTCCTCTCCTATGAATTTAACAACTTTTCTTCTCCTGTGTATTTGAATGTAGGCCTACTAAGNAGTAGTACTAGGATGGGTAACCTTCTGGAAAGTCCTCGTGTTACACCCCTTTTTAATAAAAAAAAAATAATAAAAAAAAATAAAAAATGATGACTCCATAAATTAAGGAATAATGTTTAGGTAAAAAAAAATTTAATTCATTTTGAATTTTGTACCTAAACACAAACAATTTTATAAAAATTGTACTTAATAAAATAAATAACTTATCCATACACTTTTGTTCAAATAAATCTAAAAAATTGTACCCACACCTAAAAAAACTCTTCTTCATCCATAACAAGGATTGTATAGCATAATATGCATTGGATCCAAAGTAACTTGGACAAATTTGCATTGTGTTGGATTAAATTGGGTTAAAAATGCAATCCAACTCAATCCTCCCATGAGAAGCCAAAGAGGACCAAATTGAACACAAGGTGGGCTAAATTAAAACCATATCAAATTTTCTCTCTGCTTTAAATCTCAAACAATGTCTTCACCCTGCCCAAAAACACAAATTTTGCATGTGCTTCAATGATAATAATCATAATTATGACAGTTTTTATGTGTTTTGTGGTGCCTTCAAGAATGGGTAGTAGCTAAAAAACACAATTCAACAATTAGAATTATAACCCATTGTACCAAAAAATCAATCAAAAGTGAGACTTTGAAGGGCTTGAATGTAGGTTTCTGGTCCACCACCGTACTCTTTTTTTTTTTAATCAATTAATGAAAGTCATTTTTGATCAATATAGAAAGCAAATTAACAAATGGCATAGATAATAATTAACTGCAGAAGTTCCTTACCTTTACCTACTTAAGGATGTATTGATACGCAAGGAAGTAACAGTACAACTTAGCCGGAATATTGAAAACTGCTCACTATTTTTTGTAATAATAACCAGGACTATATGTTCGGCTTTGGTTCCATATACCAATCCATTCAAATTAATCCAATGCATAAACCACCACTCTTCTCCTATGTACTCGAAACACACCAATAAACCACAATCATTCCTCTCCTATGAATTTAACAACTTTTCTTCTCCTGTGTATTTGAATGTAGGCCTACTAAGCATAATAACAAATAGGTGGTGTGTATCTTTGTTTTTCTTTTCTTTTTTTTTTTTTTGTGGTAGCAGAATAATTTGAGGAATTGGTTTTAATTAATGTATTTATTTTTTACTATTGCATTTTTTTTAAGGAAAATTTCAAAATAGGGGACTTATTAAGATTCTAAATGGGAACTAGTTAAGAGTACAAGAAAGAAAAATAAAATAGGATGCGAGGCTATCAAGCCAAACTAGTTTAGAGGGATCACTCGAGAACTTTGTGAATTTTATGGTAGAATATTAAAGAAAAGAATGAACTTTCACAAAAGAGTAATGCTAGATACACTTAAAAAGTAGACTTAAAAATTAGATTTGATAATTTTCACCATTGAAGAGGTAGTGAGCCCCAATAAATGCTGGAACCCACAGTGAAATCAATGATTGAGATTATCAAGTTTATTTTTTAAATTCATGTAACATTGCTCTTCACAAAATCTAGGGTGCATGATACTAGAACCATCCATTCACCATAGATAAAAAGCAATTCCTTGCATTTTGAAAGAAAAATCATTGGATGAGTGGGTTTTATTAAAAAAATTTAATGGACCCACTACTTCAAGGATTTTATTGATTTGGGATATAATTTGGAATTCTAAATTTAACATCTCTAGTATTACTAAATATGATACCTGATTGAAAAAAAAAAAGGAATGTTAAGTTGGATAAAAATCAATCCAACGGAGTTTGGTTGTTATGACATCAATCCTTAATATTAACTATATTGGTATTGATCATCATCAATTTATCTACTGTTAAGTTTATGGGCCTAATTTTTTGTTCCTAGAGACAATTCGTGGGACAAAATAAATAATCAGAAGTCATCAATTTAATACGCGTCTAGCCTATACCTGGCTGCACAAGTAATTTTTCGAAGTATTTCCCTTATATTGTCCAATTACGTTTTGGGGCATTTTATGCCAAAAATACTCTGCGAAATTGAGTGGCCGACGTAAAGCTCCCATGCTTGGTGAATTATTCTGGATAAACCAAAACTCAATTGGAATGATAACACATCTGTCAATTTATTTATTTGATAAGTCTAACGAACTCATTTGTTTACCAAATTTGAAAAACTTAAATCTAAATTGGTTAATTTCATATCAAATTTACAAATCATATCAAAAATTGGCTAGCCTGTGAGTAGGTCATATTATCATGTACCTTGTTAAGGATAAACTGATCAAATTTGAAACTTAAATGACATGACAGTTGATTATTTGAAATTTTTATTGGGATCCAAATGACATGACACCAGTTAAAGAAGACCAAGTCAACTGCCATGTCATTTAGACTTCAAATTTATTCTCAAAATTTGGTCAATCTAACATTATTCTTAAGGATATGGTATTATCCACAAAAATAATATTTACCCGTAAAAACTCAGATGGAAACTGGAAAAATTGAGAGTAGTTTCCTACCAAAACAAAAACAGATGAAGGTTAATCTATCAGATACAGCCCACAAAGCGATAATGATGAAAAATCTAAGACTATCTCCGCCCGTCATTGTTCATTGGGTGGCAGCAGCAATACACAATGCATAATTCCGATTATTATCAAGCAAAATACAAATACATCAAGGAATTTTGAGTTAACAATGCCAAAACAATGACATCGTTAATAAAATTGAAGTAAATTAAAAGTAAGCAAGATTATCAACATCCAAGTTTACAGTAAACATACGAGGAGCCCAAAGGAGCACCTATTTAATACTAATATATTATGAAATTTATTTGAAATGCTGCTAAAAGAATTATTCCCAAAACTAATAAAACTATAATCCAAATTTCGTATGAATCTCACATTTTACTCTGTTCAAGAACATAAAAGCAAAAAATAATAACTTCAATATTCTCTTAACCCGCACTTAATTACGAGTAATTCAGTGATATGAGGAAAGGTTATCATCGAATCTTTTCGTACTTCATGAATCTGCTATGTAGACCACCGATCAGCTTGTTAGCGTGTACTTCTTGCCTGTGAATGGTTGGAACTTCTTCTCTTCTTTGCTTGAAGCTACTTCTTCTTTTCCTGAAATCTCTGCTGACAGTTTTTGAGTCTGAGTCGCATTAGATCCAAAAACAAGTTTCCCTGATTTTTNGAATGGTTGGAACTTCTTCTCTTCTTTGCTTGAAGCTACTTCTTCTTTTCCTGAAATATCTGCTGACAGTTTTTGAGTCTGAGTCGCATTAGATCCAAAAACAAGTTTCCCTGATTTTTTGCCGGTGCCGGAGTTTGCTACAGTGTCCATCCTTTTCCCATTCGTAGCAATCAGCCGCGGCAAGTCCTCGAGCATGGAAGCTTTCCCATCCAAGCGCCTCCCAAGGCCTTGGAATGGCCTAAACTTGTGTTCTTCTTCTTCTTCGTTTGGCTCCTCTTGAATTGATTTTACTGGTTTTTCCGGTTCTTTATAATCTAAGGGAGGAGCAAAATCCACCTCACAATCTGTCTCAATGACACTAACTGAAGAGAAAGGCTTGGTTTCTACTATATCAATGTGAAACTTCTTATCACCATGAGTGATCATGATGGTATCTCCAATAGTCAAACACGAAAAGCTTCTCAGAGTTTCTTCCAGTACAGCTTTAGGGTTCGAAAGCTCAATGAAATCCTTCGTGTGAGGCTGCAACTTCATGTACGTCCCCTTATGAAGACTGGCGCTCTTGAGCACCACGAGATCTCCATGTAATACTTTCATGTTCTTCATCATCCACTCGGGCATGAAGATTAAACCCTCTTCAGCAATGAACTCATGAACACCACAATAGGACACGCGCCCGGTGTTAGGATTTTGGATTTCGAACAACATTGGATAATCAATCTCCAGAGCCACAAGACGATTCAAAGCCGAAGGCGGCATCAAAATTTTATTGCCACTTTCCAGATGAGATTTTTCAGGAGGGAGAGAGTAACAACGATAAGCTTGTTCGAATCGGTCACAGTCTTGAAACGCCATTATCGTTAAATTTGCAAGATATGTAATGCAAACCCTAAAAACCTCTGCGAAACCTAAAAGAGCCTGCCAAATTCTGAGAAAATCAGTGTGGGAAAGAAAATATCTCATCGGTTGAAACTTTATGTGAAACCTATTGTCCTTATATAGGGCAACTTATGTGATAAGTTCATAAATCCAAAAGGGTTTTGGAAAGGTGAGATGGTTTAGGAATCGAAATTGATTTGCTCCCGTGGAAAACCATGGGGACCAATGGACTAGTCGGCTTGGGCTGTCACCTAATAATGAAACCCTACTGGAATTGGGATTTAAAGGTAGTTTTCCCGATTGCACAAGACACAAGTTGTATTTAAGCAAAATTTTTTGAACTTAATCTATGAATCTATTTTATCGATTAGTAGACTATATTGCTGATAGTGAACTCGAATATTAACTATTATTCAAAATATAATAAAAATAATAGAGCAATTAATTTAACAAATTATATTTAAATAATATTATTAACAATTTTTTAGTACGCAGAAGCAATCCCATCCGTACTTGGATTTCCGTCTTCAAAAATACCATTTGATAATATTTTTTAAATAATATTTTTTGTAAAAAGTAATTGTACTGTAACCAAAGCATACTTAGTCACTATACGATAAAAGCATCCATTTGAATCTTAGTATATGAATGACATCATGATATATGTATATGTATATTTGGGAGGGAGGGGATATTAGGATATTTATGTTATTGTGTCTGTGTACAGCTCCACAACTTTTTATTATAGGAAATCAATTGTTTGATTTCCTTTCACTAAGACAGCCACAAAGGCTTTGTCTAAGGCAAGACATGTACTTCCAATTGTATGTAGTTTGTAGATAAATATCTTTGTACTACAGGAATGCAATACACGATTTTCTCACTAAACTTTTTTAGGGGGTGTTCAGAATCCCTAACCCATAATATGACAATTATATTAAGACACATGACAGAATCACGTGTTGAATTAGTTGGTTGGTTCGATCGTGACGGAGCACAAGATGGGCTCGACATAGCATGATGTGTTCGAGTAAATATTGAATACAACGGTGATACTACATTACCATTGATAACATGATATCACCTACCAATAATAAAACTCTAAATTGGAAAGGTGAACCCCACTTGAGCTTACATGACAAGAGAGTGGAAAGTTATTTATTTACATTATATGTTAGTTATTGATTTTTATGGGTTCTATGTGCTTATTTATTCTAGTACTATTAGTTGGTGATACCACATCACTTTGTCACGTGGTATCACCGTTGTAATGAATATTTTCTCAATGTGTTCGGGCAAAGCCTTCCTTCGCGAAAATGTGCCACTACAACAAATAGGAATATTAACAATGAAATTTTTAACAACAAAATTTATTTCGTTACCTAAAGTTCCTTATAGTAACGAAAATAACATTGTGGCTGAAGTAAAAATTTTCGTGAAGAAAAACTAAATTCGTCATTGAAGTATAGCTTTTAATGACGTTACATGGTTTTTGTCACTGAATGGGTCCAAATGATTAAGTGACAAGAATGAAGGAATTTAGGTATAATTTATCAATTTAATTTTAGGCAACAATTTCACGGCAGTTAGTTTTAAGTGTACATTAATACAAATTTCTAACTTTGAGGGTGCAAATTGAGATTTTTGATCTTTGGGGGTGCAAATTGATACNCAATTTCACGGCAGTTAGTTTTAAGTGTACATTAATACAAATTTCTAACTTTGAGGGTGCAAATTGAGATTTTTGATCTTTGGGGGTGCACATTGATATAAATTTCTATCTTTGAGGGTCTAAATTAAAATTTTTTATTTTTGGAGGTGCAAATTGAGATTCGAACAATCTTTCATAGTACAATTTGCAATTAACCCCAAAAAAAAAGGTAATAATTTTAATCCATTAAATTTAAAATTTTGAAATAGGTTGCTCAATGATGGAATTTGAAATATTAACAATTTAGATACTATAAATAATATATTATTTTCTTTTTCATGTATTAAACATACGNAATAGGTTGCTCAATGATGGAATTTGAAATATTAACAATTTAGATACTATAAATAATGTATTATTTTCTTTTTCATGTATTAAACATACAAGTTTTAAAGGGTAGAGTAATGCAAATGATAGATAAGTGAATAACTGTTAACCTAGTTAGAATGTATTCATTCTATTGGATGTAGTTCATCCCCTAATCAAAAATAAAATTATTCATTATTTTATTTTTATCCATTTTAACTGTACTTTTGATTCAAAATAAAGTTTACATAAATATTAAATTATAAAAATATTTATTATTTTTAAATAAAGTTGTATATAAAAAAGCCGTGAATAAACCCGCCCNAGTTAGAATGTATTCATTCTATTGGATGTAGTTCATCCCCTAATCAAAAATAAAATTATTCATTATTTTATTTTTATCCATTTTAACTGTACTTTTGATTCAAAATAAAATTTACATAAATATTAAATTATAAAAATATTTATTATTTTTAAATAAAATTGTATATAAAAAAGCCGTGAATAAACCCGCCCAAGCTTGCCTACATGTCCGCCCAGTGAATTCACGAATTGGGCTGCGGATAGCATATTTCTACTTGAAATCCTATCAAGAACGCACTTGAGTAAAGACTTATATCTACGCTACTAAGCCTGGCCTGAAAAAAATTTCGCGGGCTAATGAACACCCCTACTGCTATCACTGATGAACGACGAAATCGCCAAATTTCACGGGCTATGATTTGCCGAGGAAGTTCGCCTCTGCCATTGGTAGGTCTTTCTTTTGTTGTCTCTATCTATCGCTTCTCTCTGCGTTCTCCCCAATTGGAAAATTCTATAAATAAGGGGTTTTTAGATATGTCTGATAAATTTATAAAGATTCTCTTGATTGGTTTTAATATTGGATGTTGCTTATCTTGTTTCAATTGTCTTGGTAATTGAAGATTTTTGGATTTATACAGTCTTTGAAGGTATGTCCAGGTATTGATTGTGGTTATTGATTCTTGATTGGTTTTTGCACAGGAGAATTCCTATAACAGTTTGAGATAGCGATTTTCAATCTAGTGAACTTGTAACAATCATATGGTCAGGAAAAGGGGTCGGATGAACAACCAGTTTATCCCCTCTGAAACTTAAGTCAATATAAGATTGGAGGCTTGAGCACAATGCATCATGAGTCATGGTTCAATGTTGCGTACTTTTGTTCACTTTTTTGAGGAGTATTTATACCTGAATTAGTAATGAGTGCAAAGGCCCCAAGTCCCATCTGAACATACAAGGCTTGACACTCTTATCCACAAAGATCTAAATGTTCCCCACACAGATCTCCACATATTCAATGCTAGGATGATAGAACAGGTGTTCAGGGACACACCGAGCATATATAGCTATTCCTGAGCACTCAAGTGCCTTTGATCGGCGCATGACACCTACTCATGAGCGTTNCAAGATAGAAAGAAAGTTTTAGAGGTTGATGGAGGAGCAAATGCATGCAATACAAGGTTTTGTTAAGCGCCTTCAACTATCTGGCAGCACTACAACTCCACCTTCACCGTCACATCAATGGTAGGCTTTTAATTTACTTACATGCTTTATTTTAATTACTATAACATTAAGGGTCTAACCATAGCAGTAAAATTGTTGTAGTCTTCAAATAGCAGAAGCTTGTGTTGATTTTGATATGGGTTTGAAATGATTACTGAAATTGTTAGTGTAAAAATATCAGTTACTTGTTTGTCGTTTAGGTTTTTGGGAAATTAAACATAACAGTGATGATGGATTGTACATGCTTAGAAGATGTATAAGGTGAAGAAGAATTCCCTATCTAAAATTGGCCTTGTGGTGGCTTGGGTAGAGAGGGAAATTCATCATTCTCGGTGGTACTAAAAGACTGGGTCAATTTTGTTAAGTGACTCTTAATATCATCCATAGTTTGAGAAGTCTGGGTCTTGAACTCATTAAAGGCTCGGGTGATTTGATTATTAAAACTCATCTAACCCTGTATAAACTGATTCAAGGTGTTTTCAAGACTCCTTTTTTTGGGGTTGGTAGGGTGGATACTGAGGGGGGGCCCGCTGTGGTGGTTGGTTAACAAGTGGCTTTGAATTGTTTATCCAATCACAATTCAAGTAGTTTTTTCACCCTAGATTATATGTTTTAGAATAGGGGTTGGAATTGACTTATTAAAATTGAAGATCACATTGGATTGTTCCAACAAGACCGCCTTAAATGTTGGAATCGTAGAACACTCTCCTGTGGGATACCTTGACAAAGCACAAATCCCACACATTTGTTTTGTAGGAGGAACAATAGCCACCTCATTGACCTTTTTCAGTTCTAAGCCTCAAGTTTGTGTGACAAGAATGTCATTTTGGCACGTAGGTCATCTTACTCATTCAACACATACTTACCATCTTGTGAGCCAGTGGATCTAGACTCTGACTAGAGATTTTTTACGAAATCCCACATCTGGGCACTCTCTGTAAGTCTATTGAAATAATCGAAGGCTTCATCCGAACTTTTATTCATGAATCCCCCTTTGGACATCATTTCTACAAACTGACGTAGGGAGGTGGGAAGTGAATCATAAAAGAAATATATGAGACGCTAGTTTTCAAAGGCATGATTGGAGTAAATCTTTGACATGCTTCCAACACTCATAAAAAGTCTTACTCTCTTTAACAGTAAAATTCATGATTTGACGTTTTAAAGCATTGGTTCTATCGAGAGGGAAGAAGTTCTTGAAGAAATCTTTTTGTAGTCTTTGCAAGTCGGCTATGGATTGAGGTTTTAAAGAATTTAGACATATTTATGCTTTATCCTCCAGTGAGAAAGGGAAACGTTTCAAACGAGCTAAATCAGAATTATCTTGGAATGTGTCACACACCTCGAATTCTTTGACTTGCAAATAGGGAATTTTAGACTTCATGCCATGGAATTGTGGCAACAACTAGATGGACCTTGGTTTTATAGTAAGGTT